AACTATAGGAACAGGAACTATAGGAAGAAGAACTATAGGAAGAGGAACTATAGGAAGAAGAACTATAGGAAGAAGAACTATAGGAAGAGGAACTACAGGAAGAAGAACTATAGGAAGAGGAACTATAAGAACTGGATATAAAAAATATGGAAATAAAAATATTTTTTTTATTTAACTTTAATTAAACAGCCTCTGATGGACTGAAAGGCTGAAAGCGACGTGGCTGGTTAGGGAGGATCTGAGGTCAAACAAAAGCAGCGCTACATAAAAACCAACGTTACCTTCTGACTTTCTTCGTAGCAGAGCTGCCTGGTCGCCTTTATCTGCTGGATCAGTTTCTCCTTGTGCTCCTCAAACTTCACCAGGGTCTCCTCTAAGTCCTTACAGTCTGATTGCTGCTCCTGAAGCTCCAGGTTCTCCACGGCCAAAGCGTTTTCCAGCTCCTATCCCACAACAAACAGACATCAACAGGAGAAGGTCATCATGTCCTCAGGTCAAATTCTTCTCCCGGCTCCACGCTCCAGGAAAACCTGTTTCAGGATTTCCAGGAACGACATGTAGCCTGTTGGCTAAAGGCTGAATGGATCTACAGTGATGATCACAGCGAATATAGCTGCCATTGTTCCAGGCAGAGAAAGGATAGGGTAGCTCCGCCCACCACGCATCAGACCCACTTTACCACCGCGCAGCAAAGATGCTTCAGAACTAAACTGGTACAAGCATCAGAAATGAAGCAGCAGGCGCGTTTTAGCTGCTCCTGCTGCGTGCCGTCTGAACGTAGCGGCAGCGTGAAGGGTCTTGCCTCAGGACTGTTGAGTAAAACATGTTGAGGTTTGTCTGTTTTTAGCCTCACAGGCTCCAAACGAAGGTCATGAGAGAGAAGAATGAGTCACAGCCTCCTTCATGGGATGAAGGGGAGGACGGCTGTTATTAGGAGATCCATCTGACCAGAGAGAGATAGATTAACCTGACAGGAAACGGCCTTGTGTTCCCTCTGACTTAGTGCCATGAAGGATCCCTCAGTCTTTAAACGGTCGGTGACTCCTGCTGTAGAGTCAGTACCTACTGTCTCTACCTGCTCAGCCGCTAAAGTCAATGGCTGCATAGAACCTTTCATCTGACTGGATGATCTGATCGATCTGGATCTACAAAGTGCCTTGAGACGACGGAAGCTGTTAGTTGGTGCAATATTAATAAAGTGAACTGAAGTTAAACATAAATATTAACATCTACTAGTGATTAAACAGAGCCGAGTCATGAGTTGGTAAATTCAGTTATTATAATTGAACTAAGTCAGGCCTAACTAATGCTAGAAGCCCAATAAGCACAGTTTAAGTTTAGCTTCTTGCTAACAATGTTAAAGATAAGACGTATTTAGGCTACTACTAAATCATCTCCACACTGGCGTCATTTCAGCTTGTCACCAGAGGGGGCAGACTTCTGCAAAATGCTATGATGACAGCAGCTGTGAGAATTGAGCTAACTGAGGAGAACGGCTGTGAAATAAAGCAATGAAGCGAATATTGGAGAGGGATGAGTAACAGAGTGATGAATAGACGATAACTGAACCGTAAAATGTTCTTCAGTGCAAAACAAATCACTAAAGAACAAAATATCATGACATATAGAAAATATAGAAAGAAAGACAGAATCCTGGATCTAACGACAAACCAGAGTAAAAGACTTTCCACAGCTTGAGGAACAAAATCCAATTCACCAACATGAAGTCATAACACAGCTTAGCTTCTACTGGTCTCTCTCCTTGAGTTTAATCACAAACCGAGTCCTGCCTATCATTGGTCTCTATCAATCCTTGATTAAAAGAATTGACTTCTAGAAATGTGCAACTTAGAGTGGCTGATATTTCGTTCTGATCATCTGAAACCATTTTTGGACCAAAGCTTATTTTTTGGTGATTTTCCCTTTAGAAGTTGGATACTGTCCAGCTGAAATAAGTGCTAAATAGTTTTTAACATCTGATAACAGCTCATTATCATCTCAGATGAGGAAAACAGAGATGCTGAAAATGTAGAGCAGGAGCAAAGAGGAGAGAGAGGAACAGGAAATTCTTCCTTCAGTCATCATGGGCAATGTGAGATCTTAGGAAACTAGTTAGAAGAACTTCAAGCCTTAGCAAGGACCCAGCCACAATATCAGCAATACACCATCAAGTGTTTAACTGAAACCTGGCTGCAGGATCATATCTCAGACTCCAGCGTCTCTCTGCCAGGCTTTCTGACCAAACCAGCAGACAGAGATTTAAAGAGGACTGGAAAACTCAAAGGAGGTGGTTGGCAGTGCGTGAGATCAACAGATGGCGTCATCTAGGCAGAGCATGTGAGCGGAGCGGAGGAAATAATGGTGGAGGGAGGATTTCGCTCCGCTCCACTTCGCTCCGATGCGCTCACAATGTCCATTAAAAATGTTGGATTATAAACTTTGTAAAATAACATTTATTTAAGTGTGATTTTCTTGACAATTAATAATTAAATAGGAAACGTGGGGCAACATGAATTGAGCGAGGTGTTGCGTTCCCATCTGGGAAACACTGCGATAATTTAACAGCCAGATAAATTAGACAATCCACATGTATCGGTCACATCATTAAATCAAACCCAGGACCCTGGCATCAATACAGGAAGGAAAAATGTCAGAAAATAACTTCCCCTGAAAATCTTAGCGGGCGTGGAGAGATTTCACCAGAGCAGCAGGAAAAAAAAGGTGTGAGGTGGAGCGGATTTGGTTCAGAGCGTCATGGCGCAACTTTGAGCGGCGGAGCAAATGAGTGAACATCCTCCTCAGCCGGGAGCCTGAATTGCGCGGTGCTCCGCTCACATGCTCTGCATCCAGGACACGTTACTGTGAAGATCCATCCCTGCAGCCCAGATATTCAACTGATGGCCGCTGGTTTTCAGCCATATTATTTGCCCA